AAAAAAAAAAAAAAAAAAAAAATACTTGCCCTGAAACAGGGCAAGTGCTTATTGAATGAATGAATAGGTGAATTTGGAGGTATGTGTTTAAAAGACAGTCTGCTCCACCCCAACCATGGAGGGCCTGTGATTCATCACTCTCCACCTACCAGTGCTGCCAGCAGCCCTTCCCACCTCACTGCTCAGAAGCTAGTCTAATGGCATTAACCATCCCAGCCAGCCATGATACCATTAAAAGCTTTAGTCTAGCCAATACACTCCCACCCAGGGTCTTGGCTCTGGGCCCTGGGCTGGAAGAGTGGTCTGGTTGTTTACCAGAAATTTGGACCTTCTTCAGAGAAAAGCATAGATGACCTATTAGTCTAATTCAGGCACTTAGCAAAGAATGACTGTACCATTCACACCCCCAGCCTCAGGCTAATGGAGCCAAGGCAAATGGAGAGGACTTGACTGCTTCAGAGATCTTCCTGGAAGGGGAAGAAGGAGGAAGAAAGGTCGACCCACCCGGTGCCCCACTGGAATTTGCAGGGAGGCAGACTGGCTGAATGTTTTCAGGGGCTGGGCAGGCTATGCAGATATAAAAATATATGTAGAAAGTCTTGCCTAGTTCACCCACCACTCTGGAAACTCTGTGCACATGGTATACTCACAGTCACCTACCTTGTTGCCTTAAAACTTAACTCAGTCCAGGCAAGGTAGCTCATGTCTGTAATGCTAGCACTCTGGGAGGCAGAGGCAGGTGGACTGATTGATCTCATAAGTTGGAGACCAGCCTGAGCAAAAGCAAGACCCAGTCTCTACTAAAAATTAAAAAAAAAACAAAAAACTGAGGCAAAAGGATTGTTTGAGGCCAAGAGTTGGAAGTTGCTGTGAGCTATGATGCCACAGCACACTACCCAGGGCAACAACTTGAGACTCTGTCTCAAAAAAAAAAAAAAAAAAAAAAAAGGCTCAGCGCCTGTGGCTCAAGCAGCTAAGGCACCAGCCATACACCTGAGCTGGTAGGTTCACATCCAGCCCAGGCCCGCCAAACAACAATGACGACTGCAACCAAAAAAATAGCCAGGTGTTGTGGCGGGCACCTGTGATCCCAGCTACTTGGGACACAGAGGCAGGAGAATCACTTGAGCCCAGGATTTGGAGGTTGCTGTGAGTTGTGATGCCATAGCACTCTACCCAGGGCAACAGCTTGAGGCTCTGTCTCAAAAAACCAACTTAGAGCGCCCAAAGCTCAGTGGTTAGGGCATCAGTCACATGCTCTGGGCTGGTAGGTTCGAATCCAGTCCTGGGCATGCTAAAAAAAAAAAAAAAAGCTGGGAATTGTGGTGGGTTTATAGTTACAGCTACTTGGGAGGCTGACGCAAGAGGATCACTTGAGCCCAGGAGTTTGAGGTTGCTGTGAGTTGATGCCACAGCACTCTACCGAGAGTGACAAAGTAAGACTCTGTCTCAACAAAAAAATAACTCAGAAGGACACTCTGAGAGGCCAAGGCAAGAGGCTCACTTGTAGTCAAGAGTTCAAAACCAGCCTGAGCCAAGTGAGACTCCATCTCTACTAAAAATAAAAAAAATTAGTTGGGTGTGGTGGCATGTGCCTGTAGTCCTAGCTACTTCTGAAGTTGAACCAGGAGGATTGCTTGAGCTCAGGAGTTTGTGGTGCTATGAACTTGAGTGAACTAGAGTGGTGCTCCACTCTAGTCCTGGAGACAGAGTAAAATTTTTTCTCAAAAAATAAAAACAGGGGTGGCGCCTGTGGCACAAAAGGGTAGCCAGAGGTAACCAACCGCATATGCCAGAGGTGGAGGGTTCAAACCCAGCCCCAGCCAAAAAAAAAAAAAAAACAACAACTGAACTCAGAGAAGAATGGGAAGACAACCAAATGTCCATCAATACTGAACTGGTGGTTAAATAAACTATGCATGTGTCAATATGCATTCTTTTTTTTTTTTCACTTTATTGCTTTTAGTAGAGTACTGTCGCATCACAGCTCACAGCAACCTCTAGCCCTTGGGCTTAGGCAATTCTCTTGCTTTAGCCTCCCAAGTAGCTGGGACTACAGGCGCCCACCACAATGCCTGGCTATTTTTTGTGGCAGTTTGATCGGGGCCAGGTTTGAACCCACCACCCTCAGTATATGGGGCCAGCGCCCTGCTCACTGAACCATAGGCGCCGCCCTCAATATGCATTCTTACAAGTCCATGTCATGCAGCTGATAAAAATAATGATATAGCTCATCTCTATATGGATGCTAAAAGTGATTTGTGACTTTCACTTTGACACACAATGAGTGACCCCACTTATGTAAAATTATACATATCCATAGATTCTCAAGGTCCCAGATGTGCAGGGAGTAGTTGGGAAGTTTAAGAGTGAGATTTTAAAAATTTTGCTTTCTGCTTTAGAATTATCTATATTTTGTCCAAATTCTCTATAAAAACCACATTGTATAATTGTTAACTTTTTGAGTTCCTACTGTATCAGACACAATGTTTTACATGGATTATCTCATTCCTTACGAGGTGGGTTCCATGCTTTTCCATGTTACAGACATATAGTGAGGCCCAGAGAAGTTAAACCCAAGGTCACTTAGCTTGTGATTGACAAAGACAAGTGTTGCTGGAGAATTAAATGAATCAATGCATGTACACACACACAGTGCACCATAGTACCTGGCATACAGTAGAGGCTCAATAAATGAAGGTTATTATCATAATTATTGTATAGCACTTATCTACTACATTTGCTCTTATTGACCATCTTGTCTGTTTCACTGCTCTGATGTGTAAAAGATAAGAAAATAAGATCTTAGTTTTGGGTGGGCGCCTGTGCTCAGTGGTTAGGGCGCCATCCATGTGCACTGGGGCTGGTGGGTTCGAACCCAGCCCAGGCCTGCTAAACAAACAAACCAAAATAGCTTGGCACTGTGGCAGCTGCCTGTAGTCCCCGCTATTAGGGAGGCTGAGGCAAGATAATCACTTGAGCCCAAGAGTTTGAGGTTGCTGTGAGCTGTGATGCCACAGCACTATACCAACAGCAACAAAGTGAGACTCTGTCTCAATTAAAAAAAGAAAAAAGAAAAAAAAGATCTGAATCTTATTACCTTGGAATCTCTTGCACCCAGCACAGTGTACTGCAGAGCCAGAACTCATTAGGTGCTTATTGAAAGAGTGAGTAAATGAATTAATAGACAAATATCCATAGCTTATAAATGTATCCTTCCAACTACTTTGCATGAGTCAGTGTTTCCTCATCCCAATAGGATTACAAATTACCTGAGATCAAGGACCAATCTCTGCTTCCCTCTGGCCCCCATTATGATCTAGAGCAGGTGCTAAATAAATGCTATGGTTGACTAAGGGCCCCACCTCAGCTGCTATGGCAGAACCCAGGCAGTATCCCAGAAATAGCTAGAGCTGGGACAGATTTCAGGTCCACAGCCTCACATTTTTTCTTCCAATTCCGTGTCTAGAATACAGAGGGTCTGTGAGACTTGTCTGAAGTCATATAGCTAGTGGTGGTAGGGTTGCTGTGTCTCTTTATCACCTGGCCTGGACTCTTCTATCTGTAACACCCCTTAATTCTGAATAAATTCACAATTTGAGAAAATAGGAAAGGAGTGAGGTCTTAAGTCAAAGTGTTTAATCATGATCCAAGAGGCCAGGGGACTTGGGATAGTAGTAGGAATGAAGCAAAGTCCATGGTTCAGCTCTTGGTACCCAAATATTCTGCAGGATCCGGGAGCAGAGCAGTGCAGGTGGCAGAGGAGGAGAGAAGGAGACAGGAGTGTTGCTCTAGCCTTCCTAATAGTGGGCAGTGTCTTTCTAGGTTGCCTCAGGACACCCAGTCCTGCCTACCTGGCGAATGCAAGGGAATAACTGATTTGTTAGGCTCTGGGCTATCCTAGTAGTCGGGAGGAAAGGATCAGGAGAGAGCTTGGTAGAGCTGGTCACTGCCAGAAGATATAGCTAAATTGTGGTCACCAAGTCCTAGGGAGGGACAGCATGAATCAGAAGCGGAGGTATGGGTTGAGGGAACAAGAAGCCAGCCAATAAGAATCTGGAGATAATAACCCCTAGCTTCTACTGTGGCCTCATCTAGGGCCAACTGGATGGACATGCTGGGTGGGGTCAGGGTTGCCACATTTATGCCCCACATGTCCTTTCTGATGCTGTCCTATCCCCAGCACTCACAGGTGGCAAGTCTGGCTGGGTGTGGTGGAGGGGCATAGGGCCCCCAGGGTAGTCCGTCTACCAGAAGCTCAGGAGCAGAATCAAGGTAAGTATGCAGGAGAAAAGAGAAGGCACCCAGGGTAGTGGCCTCAGAGCAGGATTTTTATTCTGTGGAAGAAATGGAAGAGTCAGTTCAGAAGCCCATTGTCATCTTCTTCATTACCCCAACCTCAGTCAAGACTGCCCTCTTCCCCTGAGGTGTCCAATGAAGATCTATGGTTTTCATGATAACGGGGAGGGTAACTCCCTACCCAAGCCCCTTTTCTGCCTGATTTGGGTTTTCCCCAACTGGTCCAGTGAAGGAATGAGGGGTATAAGAGAGGAGGCCCCACCTGGTGTTCCATCACAGCAAAGGTAGAGTCTGCCCAGTCCTGGGAGAAGAGTTGGCTGTGAAACCGCATCTTGGCTGCAATGGCCTCCACTAAGGAGAGGAGAAAAGGTATGTTGGAAGGGGATGGTGGCAGGTGATTTCTCAGGTTCCCAATAAAGGAAAGGGAATGCTCAAGGACCCTGAGATATAGGGGAACAAATGGGTAAGAGATGGAAATGGGATATTGTGTAATTCTGCTTGCTTGTTCCTTGATTTGGAGAAGTCCACGTAGGTTGAACAGGCAGTGAAGGGGGTCTCTCAGGGAAAAGAAAGAAAGGCCCAGGCTGAGAAGAGAGCTGCTCTGTCTGAAGGAGATGGACAGAACAGGTCTAGGCCACACAATCGACCTTTTCCTTTCCTCTGGATCTGGATGACTCTGCCACAGGTGCTGGGAGCAAGAGGAGCACACTCACTGAGGCAGGGGTTTCGGGAGAAGAACCCTTCTAGCTGTTCACATTCTTCCTGCAGATTGCCACTGCCTCGACAGGTGCAGCTTAAGGCAACACTGGTGTTGACGTTGCTGACAAAGTTGGGGGTCATGACAGTTCCTATGAAGTGAAGATGGCAAGGGATTCTCAGGACCTAGGCTAATCCTGACTTCAGCTCCCATCCTCCCCCACCCATCTCAGAACCAGAGCATCTGGGTTCAGTCTCTAGAGCATTCTCCCCCTCAGGTCTGACCAACCTGTGGCTCCTACACACACCCTGAGCCTCACCAATCAGCCCCAGGTATGCTCGTAGACATCTGGACTGCTCTGTAGCACAAGTCCCTAGGATGTCCATGGGATGGCAATGGGTCTGGAAATCCACAAGGCGTGACCTGCAAGAAGGGAAATTTCAAGAGCTTCATTTGGGTCCACTATAGTTTTCACTCTTGCTGCCCCTTTAGCTTGGCATGCCGCTTGTCATGACAAATCCTGCTTGCTCTTCAGAGCTGGCCCAGGGCCTCCTCCTCAGTGAAGCCTCCCCATTATCATTAAATGAATCATCATAGGCCCCACCGCATATCACTCTGAATTTGAGCTCCACCATCTTTAGTTATGAGAGCTCAGGCAGCTTCTTTAACCTAGTTCCTAAACTGTAAAATAGAGATGATAGCAGCACTACCTCATGGATTTCTGTTAAGATGAAATAAGAAAATGCTGGCTCGGCAGTAGCTCAGTGAGTAGGGCGCAGGCCACATACAGCAAAGGTGGCAGGTTTGAACCCGGCCTGGGCCTGCTAAATAATAATGACAACTGCCACCAAAAAATAGCCAGGTGTTGTGGTGGGTGCCTGTAGTCCCAGCTCCTCCGGAGGCTGAGGCAAGAGAATTACTTAAGCCCAAGAATTTGAGGTTGTTGTGAGCTGTGATGCCACAGCACTCTACCAAGGGTGAAACAGTGAGATTCTGTCTCAAAGAAAAAAAAGATGCCAGGTAAGGTGGCATGTGCCTACAGTCCCAGCTACTCTGGAGGCTGAGGTAGGAGGATCACTTGAGCCTAGGCAAGACTTTGTTTCTAAAAAAGTAAATAAATTTTAAAAACTAAAAAGAGGCTCGGCGCCTGTGGCTCAAGCGGCTAAGG